ACCAACTTCAACTCAACTCAACCCAACTTTCACCCTCAACTCCAACTCAACCTCAACCTCAACTCAACTCAACTCAATCTCAACCAACCAACCCAACTTCAACTCAACCCCACCAACCCCAACTCAACCAACCTCAACCTCAACTCAACTCAACCAACTCAACCAACCAACTCAACCAACTCAACTCAACAAACTCACCCCAAATTCAACTAACTCAACTAACTCAACTAACTAACTAACTAAACCAACTCATCTCAATTCACCTGAACTCACCCATCTAACAATTCACCCCACCAACAACATCAACTAACAAACCAATTCACCCACCACCAACCCACCACCAATCAAACCCCACCCCACCACCCACCCCAATTCACCAACCCCCAACCCAACCCCAACCACCCCACCCCAACCCCAACCCCCACCCTGACCCAACCCTCAATCAACCCGAATCTCAACTTCAACCCCAACTCAACCACCCCAACCAACCAACCAACCCCAACCCCCCAACCAACCTCACCAACCAACCAACTCAACCAACCAACCCCAACCTCAACCAACCAACTTCAACCAACCAACCAACTCAACTAACCCCAACCAACTCAACCCCACCTTCAACTCAACTCAACCATCCCAACCCAACTCAACCCAACCCAACCCACCAATCAACTCAACCCAACCAACTCAACCAACCAACCATCCCAACTTCTAACTTCAACCAACCCAACCAACTCAACCAACCTCAACTCAACCCCAACTCAACTTTCAACTCAACCCCAACCCAACCCCAACTCAACTCAACCCCACCCCAACTCAACTCAACTCAACCCCACCAACCACCTCAAATCAACCACAACCCAACCAACCCAACCCCAACTCAACTAACCCCACCCAACCAACCAACCAACCAATCAACTTAACCAACCCAACCCCAACCTCAACCACCAACTCACCCACCACCACCAACACCACCACCACCAACTTCACCCACCCCACCCAACCATCTCACCCACCACTCCACCAACACCACCACCCAACTCAACCACCCCAATCTCAACCCCAACCCCAACCAACCAACCAACCAACCAACCAACTCAACTTCAACCCACCCCAACCAACCAACCCCAACCCCCAACTCAACCAACTCAACCCAACCCCACCCACCAACTCCAACCCCCAACTCAACTCAACCAACCCCCAACCAACCCCAACCTCCAACCAACCAACCCCAACCAACCAACCCCAACCCCAACCCCCAACCCCAACTCAACTCAACCCAACCAACCAACCCAACCAACCAACCCCAACCTCCCCAACTCAACCCACCCAATCCAACTTCAACCTCAACTCAACTCAACCTCAACTCAACCTTCCCAACCCCCAACTCAACTCAACTCAACTTCAACTTCCTCACCCATCCCTCAACCCCAACCCCAAACCCAACCAACTTCAACTCAACTCAACTTCAACTCAATCAACTCAACCTCAACTCAACCCAACTTCAACTCAACTTCAACCCACCAACTCAACTCATCCCAACCAACTTCAACTAACCAACTCAACTCAACTCAACTTCAACTAACTCACCAACCACCCACCACCAACTCAACCAACCTCAACCAATCTCACCTCAACCCCACCAATCTAACCACCACCCCATCTCAACCAACCACCCACCACCACCAATTTCACCCACCACCACCACCACCACCACCCACCACCAACCCCACCCACCACCCCAACCCCAACCCAACCCAACCAACCACCACCCTCAATCACCCAACCCACCAATCCAACCCCAATCAATCAACCCCAATCAAACCACCAACTCAACTCAACCCCACCAACCAAACTCAACCAACCAACTCAACCTCAACTCAACCCCAACCTCAACTCAACCCACCAACTCAACTCAACTCAACCAACCCCAACTCAACCCCAACCCAACCCAAACCCAACCCAACCCCAACCTCAACCAACCACCAATCAAACCAACCCAACCAACCAACCCCATCCAACCAACTCAACCAACCCCAACCAACCAACCAACTTCAACCTCAACCCCAACCTTCAACCAACCAACTAACCCCAACTCAACTTCAACTCAACTTCATCTCAACCAACTCAACCAACTTCAACTCAACTTCAACCAACCTCAACTAACCTCAACCCCACCAACTAAACCAACCAACCAACCAACCTCAACCCAACTAAACCCCAACCAACCAACTCAATCAACCACCCAACCTCACTTCAACCAATCAACTTCAACCAACCAACCACCCCAAACCCAACCCCACCACCCAACCTCAACTCACCACCACCACCACCCACTCACCCACCAATTCACCCACCAACCACCCCACCCCAACCAACCACCAATCAACTAACTCAACCCAATCAACTCAACCCCAACCCCACCAACTCAACTCAACCCCAACCATCCCCACCAACCACCCCAACTCCAACCTCAACCCCAACCAACCAACTCAACCTTCAACCCAACCCAACCAACCCCACCCCAACCAACTCAACCAACCTCAACTTCACAACCAACCAACTCAACCCAACCCCAACTCAACTCAACCCAACCAATCAACCTCAACTCAACCCCAACCCCAACCAACTTCAACCCACCAACTTCAACTCAACTCAACTTCAACTCAACCAACTCAACTCAACCAACTCAACCCATCCTCAACTTCAACTTCAACTCAACCCCAACCAACCCCAACTCAACTCAACTCAACTCAACCACCAACTCAACCAACCAACTCAACCAACTAACTCAACCAACCAACTCAACCCCAACCAACCTCAACCTCAACTCAACTAACCCACCAACTCAACCTCAACCAACCAACCCCAACCAACTCAACTCAACAAACCACAACCAACTCAACCACCTTTCCTGACCAACCAACTCAACCCACCAACCAACTCAACCTAACCAACTCAACCACCACCCCACCAACTCACCAACCCCACCACCACCAACACCAACTCCACCAACCAACCCACCACCACACCAACCCACCCACCCACCACCCCACCACCACCACCACCACCCACCACCACCCACACCCCAACCAACTCAACCCAACCTCAACCAACCCCAACCAACCAACCAACTCAACCAACCCAACTCAACTCAACCCAACTTCAACTTCAACTAACCCTAACCCCAACTCAACCCCCAACCCATCCAACTCCACCAACTTCAACCCAACCAACCCAACTCAACTTCAACCCAACCAACCAACCCCAACTTCACCAACCAACCAACCAATCCAACCAACCCCAAACCCCCAACCAACCAACTCAACCACCACCACCAACCAACCAACTCAACCAACCAACCACCAACCAACCAACCAACCCCACCAACACCAACCCCACCACCAACCACCAACCACTTCACCAACTCACCAACCAACTCAACCCAACCCAACCAACCAATAACCACACCACCACCACTTCACCACCAGCCAACCAACCAACCAATCAACTCCCCACCAACCAACCAAACCAATCACCAATAACCAACTGACTTCAATTCACCACAACCAGCCAACCAACAACCAACCACCACCAACTCCCAACCAATCAACTTCACCAACCAACTCAACCAACCAACTCAACCACCACAACCCCAATCAACCTCAACCAATCAATTCACAACCAATCAACCAACTCAATCACCACACCAATCAACCAACTCAACTTCACCACCAACCAACCAACTAACCACTTCACAACCAACCGCCAACCAACTCAACCAACCAACTCAACCACCACCAACCAACCACCCAACCGTCAACTCAATCAACCAACTTCAACCACCAACCACCAATCAACCACCACCACCAACCAACCACCACTAACCACCACCACCACCACCACAACCACCACCACCACCACCACAACCAACCAACCACCACCAACTAACCCCACCCCACCACCACCACAACCACCAACCAACCAACTCACACCAACAACCACACCACCACAACCAACCAACCAACCACCACCTCACCAACCAACCAACTCAACTCCCCACCACCAACCAACACCACAACCAACCCCAACCAACATCACCACAACCCCAACCAACCAACTAATCACTCACCAACCAACCAACCAACTCCACCACCACCAACCAACCAACCACCACCACAACCCACCAATCACCCAACCAACCAACCAACTCCCACCACAACCAAACTCCACCACCACAACCACCACCCACCCCCACCCCAACCCAACCAACCTCAACCACCACCACAACCACCAACCAATCACCACCACCAACCACCTCAACCGCCACCAACTTGCCTCACCACACCACCACCACCACCACAACCCCAACCCCACCAACCACCCACTCACCACCAACCAACCAACCAACCCCAACCCCACCCAACCACCACCACAACCAACCAACCAACCACCACCACAAACCAACCACACAACCAAACCCCAACCCCAACCACCACCAACCAACCAAACTAACCACAACCAACCAACCAACCACCACAACCAACCCACCACCCCACCACAACCCAACCAACCAACCACCCACCAACCAACCAACCACCACCAACCAACCACCACCTCACAACCAACCAACCAACCAACCCCACACAACCAACCAACCAACCACCCACTGCCAACCACCAACCCCACCACCACCACCACACCACCAACTTCACTTCACAATCCAACACCACCCACCCACCCCTCACCACAATCAACCACCAACAACAACCAACCACCCAACCACCACCACCACCAACCAACCACCCACCAACTCAACTCAACCAACCAACCACCACCCAACCAACCAACCAATCACCACAACCAACCCCACCCCACCAACCAACTCAACCAACCAACCAATCACCACAACCAACCAACCAATCACCAACCAACTCACCCAACTCAACTCAACCAACCAACCAACCAACCAACCAACCAACCCCACCACCACCACCAACTCAACCACCACAACCAACTCAACCACAACTTCAACCAACTCCACACTCAATCAACCAACCCCACCACACCAATCAATCAACCACCACCATTAACTAATCACCACCACCCCACCACCACCCAACTTCACCACACCACCACCACCACCACCACCACACAACCACCACCACACCACCCCACCACCACACCAATCAATCACACCAACTCACCCCACCAATCAATCACCACACAATCCACCCCAATCAACCACAACCAACAACCAATCAACCAACCAACCCTGAACACCCAACCAATCACCAACCAATCAACTCACCAACCAATCAACTCAACTCAACCAACCAACCACCACTCAACAACCAACCAATCAACCAACTTCACCACACCACCACCAACCAACCACCTCAACTCAATCAATCATCTCACCACAACCAACTCAACCAACCTCACCACACCAAACAATCATCAACCAACCAACCCCACCCCAACCAACTCAACTACCAATAACCACCACCACCACCACACCACCAACTCACCACCACACCAACACCATTCACCAACCACCACACAACCACTACTTAACCAACTTTCATCCCAAACTCAACTAAACTCAACTCAACTAAATACCTCAATCAACCAACTAAACCAACACAACCACACCACCACAACCAACCACCACCAACACCACACCCCAACTCACAACCACAACCAACTCTCACCCCACCCCACCAACAACAACCAACCCCACCAATCAATCAACCTCACCACAACCAACACCCACCACCACCAAACACCAACCACCAACTCAACACCACCCAACACCACCACTTCACCACACCCCACCAACCACCACCAATAACCACCAATCAACCCAAACTAACCTCAACTTCAATCACAACTTCACACCATCACCAATCAATCAACCTCACCAACACCAATCAATCACCACAACCAACTCAACCACCACTCAAATCACAATCCACCCTCAACACCACCAACTCAACCAATCAACTTCAACTCACACCTTCACAACTCAACTCAACCACCACCACTCACAACTCAATCAACTCAACCACCACTTCATCAACTCAATCAACTCACACCACAACCAACCAACTAACCAACCAACTCACAATCAACCAACCAACTTCACTTCACCAACCAACTCAACTTCAACCAATCACCAACACCCAAATCAACTTCAACCAACTCAACCAACCAACCACCACCAATAACCAACTTCAACTTCAACTCACCCACCAATAACCAACTCAACCAACCAACCTCAATTCACAACCAACCAACTCAACTTCACCACCTCACCCAACCAACTTCAATCAATTCAATCAAAACCAACAACCACCTCAATCAACCAACAACCAACCAACACCACCAACACCAATCAAAACCACCACCACCAACCACCACCAAAACCAACTTCAACAACCAATCAACAACTCACACCAACCAACCAACAACCCAACCCAATCAACCAACTTCACCACAACTCAATCAATCAATCAATCAATCAACCAACTCAACTCCAATCAACTCAACAATTCACCATCAATAACCAACCAACCAATCAACTCCCAATCAATCAACTCAATCAATCAATAACTCAACTTCAATCAACCAACCACCACCAACTCAATCAACTCAACCAACTCAATCAAATCAACCAACTTCACATCAACACAACCTCAATCAACTTCAACCACCCTTCACCAACCAACTCAACTCAACCACCACCACCAACCACCAACTCAACTAATCAATCACAACCAACCAACCACCAACTTCAATCAATCAATTAACCAACCAACCAATCAATCACCACACCAATCATCTGGCTAACCAATAAACAAAACTCACTTCACTACTAACTTCAATCACCAATTCCACAAACCAACCAACCAACCAACCACCACCACCCCCACCAAACACCACCAACCAACCACCACCAACTCAACCACCAACCAACCACCACCAACCAACCAACCACCACACCACCACCCCACCACCACCACACCAACCAACCACAACTCACCCACCACCCCACCACCACAAATTCCCACCACCACCACAACCACCACCCCACCCACCACCCCAACTCACCACCACCACAACAACCCATCACCTCAATCCAATCTTCACTAACCAACCACCACACCCCAACCACTCAACCACCTCCAACCAATCAATCACCTCACCACCACACAACCACCACCACTCACACACCACAACCCTCACTCACGCCACCACCACCACATCACCACCACTTCACACCACCATCTCACCACCACCACACCTGACCACCCCCACCCCACCACCAACTCCACCATCCCCACAACCACCAACCACCCCACCACCACCACCTCACAAACAACCACCCCACCACCACCACACACCACCACCAACTCACCCCAATTCCCACCCCACCACACCACCCCACCCACCACCACCACACACCAACCAATCATCAATCAACCACACCACCAATCCCTCACAATCAACTCAACTTCAACTCACCACCCCACCACCACCACCAATCTCCACCAATCACCACCAATTCAATCACCAACCACCACCTCCACCACCACCCCACCTCACCTCACTTCACATCAACTTCACCACCACCCTCACCCTCACCCCACCACACCACCACACCACCACCACCACTGAGCTATACTACTACTACTACTCACACTACTACACTATTACACTACTACCACTATTTCACCATTCTCATAGCTAACATAAAGTGAATGTCACTTTTAAAATATTTATTTGTCTATTTTGGTATTAAGCATGAGCAACACAGCGAGATTTACTTTCATTACAATGGCGCAGGGATGCTGCCAGCCTTTAATAGTGCCTGGAGTGGGGATGCTAGCCTTAATTTATGCCTGGGAGTGGGAAAGTACTAGCTGTTGTGGCGCCTTGAGTGGGATGCCAGCCTTACTTGGCGCCTGGAGAGAGATGCCTGCCATACTTTGGCGCCCAGAGTTTGAGAGTACGAGCCTTGAGGCCTGGAGTGGGATGTACTATCCTATGGTGCATGGAGGATGTACTAGCCTTAATGGTGCTCTGGAGTGGGGATGTGCCAGCCTTTGTTTGCTACCTGGAGTTTGAGAGCACTTGTTCTTTGATAGTCTGGAGGGATTGCACCATCCCTACATGGCATGAGTGGACGCAATTCATCTCAATTTGCCCGATAGACGTGCTGAATTCTAAATTTGGCCTCGATGACGCATTCACAACGGCCATCTGAGCCTGATACACCTGTCTCTGATATCCTATGTGACGCACCATCCCCTCATAAGCACTTTTGTGATGCACCAAATCTTAATTTGCCCGGAGTGGGGACGTGCCACTCTAACGGCGCCCGGAGCCTGAGATACACGAGTTCTTTGAGGCCCGGAGTGATGTACCATCCCCATGGCATGGAGGACGCCATCTTCTAACGCATGCCCGATGGGACGCACCATCCCTGCTGAGTGGGACGTACCATCCTTAATGGCGCCTGAGTAGGGGATGCAATATCCTTAATGGTGCATGGAGGGGATGTACTAGCCTGAGTGGAGAGAATGAGCTCAGGAGGCCTGGGAGGGGATGTACTATCCTAATGGTGCATGGAGTGGGGATGTACTAGCCTTAATTACGCCTGAGTGGGGATGTACTATCCTTATGGTGCATTTATGTGATGCACTAGCCTTAATGCGCCTGAGTGGGGGGATGTACCATCCAATGCTAATGGAAAGACGACTAGCCCTTAATTTGCCCGGAGTGGAGATTACTATCCTTATGATGCATGAGGATGCACCATCCTATTTCGCATGGAGTGGAAAGCACAGCCTTATGACGCCTGGGAGGGGATGTACCATCCTAATGGCGCATGGAGGATGCACTATAAAGGCATGGAGGATGTACTATCCTTATGGTGCATGAGGATACCATCCTTAATGGCGCCCGAGAGGAGAGCACGATCCTCATGAGGCCTCGAGTGACGCACCATCCTTAAGCCTGGGAGCACGAGCACCTTACGTGCATTGATGGGATGCACTATCCTTAATATGCCTGGAGGATGTGTTATCCTTAATGGCATTGAGTTGAGAAGCTATAATTGTATCCATTTAAACTGTAAACTGCTTATGATAAAATCAGCAAGGAAAATAAAAAAGACACACACACACACACACACACACACACACACACACACACACACACACACACACACACACACACACACACACACACACACACACACACACACACACACACACACACACACACACACACCACAACCCAACACACACACACACACACACACCCACACGCGCGCGCACACACACACACACACACACACAGAACCGCTTTGAAATAATTCACTTTAGGTCAGGTATGTGAACTGCACATATTTACCATTTATTTCTTATTGCAAATAGCATATACATATACAATATATTATTATTATTACCATTACATTTCACAACCAACGCACATATCAATGCAATTACTATGGCCCCACACATCCACAGCTTAAGCACCACCAACATTCAGTTTTGATTTTACTGAGTGTCAAATGTCCTGTCACGTCACGACCTGCCCAAGAACCCTTGCAACCTGTGCACGCAACATATATATGACACACGCCCGCTCTCTCTCCCAGACGTGGTCGTATTACTGTCAGTCTAGACTCAATGAAGATGTCAGAGTCTGTGTGTTGTAAGCCGACATGGCTGACACTTTCACGCTTTAGGATCAAGCAACCTCGTGCTACACCACCCCCTCTCATTTCTCCCCCCTGCTTCACCAACCCCTCCCATCTCCCCTTTCTACCCCATTACCACCCGTCACATTTCTCCTCCTACCTCACCACACCCTCCCCATATCTATCCCCCTCACTCCATTACCAATCTCCCATTTCTCCTCCCACCTCACCAATTCCTCTCATCTATCCCCCCACCCCACACCACCCTCTCATTTTCTCCCACTTCACCACCACACCTCCCATCTACCCCCCCACCCCCATTACCAACTCTCTCATTTCTCCTCCTACCTCACCACCAACCCCTCTCATCTACCCCCCCACCCCATTACCACCTCTATTTCTCCCTCCTACTCCATTACCACCCTCCCATCTATCCCCCTACTCCATTACCACCCCCTCTCATCTATCCCCCACTCCAGCACACCACCCTCCCATCTCCCCCTCCTACCCTCCCCCAACCAACAACCGCACCAATCCTGAATTGAAAGTCTGAGAGAAATTCATCCAGTGAAAAAAACCAAGACTTCCGTCTTGTCCCGACCACTCAACACTCAACCCCACAAATTGTTGAAATAAAAAGGATCTTTACCACCACACCCCTCTGCTGTCTGTCTGTCTGTCTATCTGTCTGTATGTGTGTCCCAGCTCTGTCTGTCTGTCTGTCCGTCTGTCTGTCTGTCTGTATGTGTGTCTGCTGTCTGTCTGTCTGTCTGTCTGTGCTCGTCTGTCTGTCTGTCTGCTCACAGTGTGTCTGTCTGCATAATGTATGTCTGTCTGTCTGTATGTATGTACAGTATGTCTGTCTATGTGGCTGTCTGTTTTTCCGTCTGTTTGTGCGTGTGTGTGTGTGTGTGTGTGTCTGTCCGCCACACATTTTTTAAGTCATGGCAACTGTGTTAGTTCCCCGCCCGGCCCTCGGTGGGCGCCTCTCGCCGACAACCCTGAAATATAAAGCCAGCTGCCCACTCACAAGTCGGCCTGGGTAACATGGCCGCGTGGTATGGGGTCTTAGTGTCTGTCTGTCTGTCTGTCTGTCAGTCCTATGTGGTGAACCCAGTACGAAGGGACAGGGACGTCTATGTGAGAAGGGGGGCCTTTAGATAAACATGAAAGCAATAATAAAGTGCCATAAAGAATGAGCCACAAATCGCTGATAATTACCAGGTGAGATCCGACCTACCTTGATTGTCACTATGGTCATAAATAGGTAAATGTAAGACTGGTCAGCTTTTTAATTTTGTTTTTGCTTTTCAACATGTACAAGTTTCCTCCTTCCCCTTTTCATTTTTCCCTCTCTCCCCTCTTTTCCCCCTCCGCCTTTCTTCCTTTT